ACTGAGGAACAACTTTAACAAATAAAAACAGGGTTATATTAAAATTATAATATGAAAATATTCAAATATTGGTTGAACATACATCCAACCTACTTTCTATTTATTTAAATATTCACTACAATTACTTTATACATCACCAATTTCTTAAGTAAATTCAGTTTTTTGTACAATATAAAAAGAATCTTACATCACTTCTATGTTTACACGAAAGAAATGTAACGCCCGCCTTCTAATTAAACTTGATCTAACCGAGCGAACGGCAAATTAGACAAAAATTTAACAAAAAAAAAATTAAAATTATGGTAATTATTACAAGTACCTAACACTATTATTTCATGTTCAACATTTCATGTCAATTATTTTATTATTACCTATGCTTAACATTACCCTATGATAAATCATTATAAACGATGAAAATGTATCTCCGTGATATCATTCAACAATTATCCATTAACAATTTGCAATCCATTACGCGCATATCGAACGTAAATTATAACTAATCTCATTAACAACATAGGTCCATATCAGTGACAGTCTCTCAGTTTATCCGACTTGGGTTTGCGGCCACGTTTCTTCCCCGCGGTAACCCCGGCCAACACCATTGCGGCGCGTTTCGCGATACACGACTTGCAGAACCAGTCCTCAGTGGCACCTGGCTCCTCGGTGATGCCCACACACTCCCAATGGTACCAACCGTCGCAACCGTCACAACCGATCATAGGTGAACCGTTGTCCTGCCTGCCGCACGCGGGACACACCCAGATCTTGTTCCCTTGTTCGTCCACGTAGTACGGAGTTGGCAAAGGACCACTTGGCTTCGGCGGCGCGGGAGTCGGCGTCGACTTCTCCGGTATCGACTCACCTTCTTCGAAGCCTTCCATATGTCCTTTTTTGGCTTGCGACTTGAACAATATCCTTTTGTATTTTGAATGACTCGATGGTGGCCTATTCTTTCTAGGTGGAGAATTCCCGGACGGAGGGGACGAGGGTTGCCCCTCGAGTTCGGAGACGTGATTGTGCTTAGAATGCTTTTGCTTCGGCGGCCTCGTGACCAGCGCCGATATTTGCGCCAACTCCGGCGACCGACTGTGCTCCCGAGACCGCGGCTCCTCTTTTGGCTGTGGACTATCTTCTTCCTCTTTTTTGACGACCGGCTTAATATTTAGCTTGAAGATATCCGGCGAGCTCGGCGGCATCGGAGAGTTTGAATTCGAGGAGCCCAGCTTTAATGTCAGCTTGGGAACGAGTCCGTCGGCAGTCTTTTCCTTTTTTTTCTCTTTCTTTTCTTTTTTTATTCTATCTTTCTCTTCCTGCTTTTCTTCTTTGTCTCTCTTCTTTTCGGATTTATCTTTATTTTTATCCTTCTTATCTTTTTTCTTTTTTAATTTGATACCATCTTTATCTTTCTTTTCCTTTTTATGGGCTTTGTCTTTCTTTTTGTCGGTAGTTTCGCCGTCTCCGATGTGACTGACTTCAGGCGACGGCAACCTGACCAGTACGGGAGGAGGCTCCGGCTCTAACTGAGCGACGACCGGAGGAGGCTCCGGTGTGGGTAGTCGCGGCGGCATCGGTGGCTCCTTCGGGAGTTCCCGTCTTACAGGATCAACTTTAGGAGGGTTAAGTTCTATAGTTATATCCGGCTGTACAGGTGGCATTTTATATAACGATTTATGCTCCTTATGTGATTTCGATTTTGGTTTTTGTAAAATATTTGGAATGGTTGGAGATTTGTGCTTATTATCATGCCTATCTTTATCTCTGTGCATAATTGGAGATTTATGCATTCCCCGATCTTCTTCGTTATCGACGGGAATCACTTCTAAGCTTGGGCGCCGCAACATTGGCGGAATTTTCATTGACTGTGATCTAGATGTGTGTGGAAAATTTCCCATGGACATTAAACTATTTGGCATTCCAGGCCCTAAACCACCGGGTAGAAAACTGGGACCAGGAATCAAACCAGGGCCACTTGCTATAGCAAAGGGGTTTGTTAATCCTCTCAATGCTGGATTATTTGCTAGTCCTGCCAGGAAGTCACTACTTGGTATTAATCCTGGATTTGGTATTAGCCCTGGTCCAGGTATCAAGCCCCTGCCTGGAGGCATTGCGGAGAAATATGGAAATCCTGGTGGCATCTGTGGTAATTTCGAATCATTCTTTGGCCTACTCGATTTTACTTTTGCATTTCCAAGTTTAATTCTCTTCTTTTCTGCTTGCGCCATTTCCAAAGCCAGTTGTTGCTGTTGCTTTTTAAGCAACTTTGCTTCTAATTTAGCAGCTTTGTCTTTTTTGTCCTTGTGTTTCTTTTCTTTTTTAATTTTAGGACTGACACTAGGTACATCTTTGGGATATGGAAGTTGCAACGACTTATTTATTGATATACTTGGTCGAGGTTCTGGATGTAGAATTTTATCCTGGGGCATATCCAGAGAGTCATCATCAATATTTATTACTTCATGGGCCCTCATGTCAATTTCTTTCGACAAGTCTAAAGCACTAAAATTATTGTTCACAACAGAATCATTGTTCACATGTACATTTTCACTATTATTAGTATTATTTGTTGAATTCTGTAGCCTTGAGATCATATCAGAATTTTCTTGTGGAACAGTAACTTCTGGGGGAATCTTATCTTCTTTATTTTTGTTCGATATTCTTTTAAATATATTAACTTTTGATCTATCTGGCTGGGATGCTAATTTCTCTTCTACAATTATTTCTTTCTTTATCTCTGTCTCTGGTATTAGAGAATTGGAAGATTGATTTTTATGTACAGGTAAAGCATTAGAAATCAATGGAGACTTGGAAATTGGTATTTTTCTTGGTACAGGTATAGCATCTTCACTTGAAGTCATTGGTCTTGTAATGGGTAGGGGAAGTGTGTCTGGTGGTTCTTGTTTGATAACAGGCCTGATTACCTCCGGAACAGGAGGTTCGGGGACTGGAGCTGGTGGTAAAGTCTGGGGTAAAGGTACTAAAGGCTTCGGAGGAGGTCCTGGTACCTTTGGCGCTGGCATTGTCACATGATTATGATGCGTGGGATGGACATCTTTACTCTTCATTGGATGTCCAGGAGGATACCTGTCCAATTTATTACTATCCTTGGATTTACTACTTTCACCTTTATGACTTTTATCTTTTCTTTTACTCTTCATGATTTTACCGTTTAACAATTTATTCTTTTTAGATTTTTTATCACTTTTGTCTAAAATTGGTGCTTTCATGGGATTTGAATGATGGGAATTAACTTTATGCTTGTCATGATGTTTTTCAGAAATTATTGTAGGAGGTCTAGCTTCAGGTAATTTACCTTCTCGGGCAGGGGATAAAAAACCAGACATAGTCATAATTACACTGCTGATTTCTCTAGTTCTCTCTTCTTCTTCCAACCTTAGCCTGGGCCTTTTACTATTTGGTAATGATACAGGGTCAATTGGCCGTTTAAATATGTCTTTTGTTTTTTCAGGACTATCCGTAACTGATATTTCAGGACTTGTACATGAAGTGCTAGTATCCATATTATCAATACCATTTTGTCTAATTTCCACAGTGCCTGCAACAACTGGTGTATCCCTTTCTTTTTCAGGGTACATGGGAGGAAGATGTTCATGAACATGCATCGGTCTTGTGACGACTTCATGACTGCCAGGTTTTAGGAAGTTTAGATTTGATTCCTTGGGTTTAGGAAATTTTTCAGCTTTAACGGGTGGTGGGACAGGTGGCACACATCTTGTGTACTCCGCTAACTCTGGCAACTGGACATGGAGGTCACGGAACACTAACCCTAGGTCATGTAAATTTGGTTCAGTTCTATTAAATTGTTCGGCGTATCTGTTAGCTTGTGTTCCAAGTGTACATATGTACTTCTCCAATACATGTACTAGTATATCCAGTGGCGTCGAGTTTATACCGTTCCATCCTATAGTTTGACATATTTGCGCAACATTCCTTCGTAGTATCTCACGGGCGTACGCCTCTGACATAATGACACCAACAAAGTTATCTGGAACAAATGTATATATCGAAATTATCACAACAAAACAATAGAAAAATCAACTTTACAGAATTAGCCATCTAATTTTAGTAACAATAGGTAATAATTTAACTTTCAAATACACGTTTGTATGGCTAAAACTGTGAATCTCATGATTTTTATACCTGCAAGTGTCTAGTAGTACAGAGACGATGATCTGAACAAGTGAAAACGTCACGTTTAGAACACACATGTATGCTTCCCTATAATCCTTGAAATTCACGGATAAGTTATCATAATACATAAACTGGTTTTAATGCAAAATAATGAAGTGTTTACGTAAAAACTTCTCAGCATTCTAAAAACACAGTGCCCCGTGCGCCATGATTGCATTTTGGGTTGTCAATGTTTAGTGTTGCATGTTTATAATAAACGAAATGGCGGTCTATTATGAAAGCGTTCATTAACATTTTAAATTACCAAAGTTGTTCACCTTTTGTAGACGTAAATAAGGAATAATATAAAAATTATTTTTAAATGTAAATAATTGTTTTCAAATCCTTTGTATAAATGATTAATTCAGAAAATTATAGCAAAGAAAGCATTATACAACAAACAAGGAAGTTAGTTGTAAATAATGCCAATGGCTTTAAAATTAGATGTGCTTCGCTGTCACGTTTCTTCTATCTTCCTATCTTCCGTGCAATTTTCTCATTCATCATTTTTTTCATCACAATAGTGATCATTTAAACAACTTACAGCGTTCCATGAAATTGTAAAATGCAGAAAAATTGTTGAAATCCAATTGATACTTTTTTTGGGTTTCTAGTGATTATGGTATCAGCATCAATAATACTTGTAATTTGAAAATTAAAACAAAGGTTTTGTTGTCGTTTCATACAGGTACGAGTATATTTTTAAAGATTTTCAGTTTTTTTTAAATATTGAAAACAAAAAACAAAAATGTTTATAATAGGGCAAACTTTATCGAAAAATATTTTTTACTCATTCAACATTTTCAAAACGATTGACATGACACTTTGTCAAACAATACCGCAAATGGGGTTTGACGATGTGCTTTTGTAGAAAAGAATTTGATATTTCATAATTTTATACAAAAACTGTTCATATAAGTTTGTTATGTACAGAAATATCAACAAGAAATACATGCATTCAAATATAAGTACTACCCGGAACATTGATTTTGCCCTCAACGAAGCCAGGTCTAGCAATAATCCTAAAAAATAGCCTGTAAGGTCGACCTTTCAATACATTTTTGGTAATTGTCTTATTAGTTCTCGACGTTAAAGATGACTACATCTTCGGAGGACGTGTTATTGAGCGTGGGATATGTGAGATATAAGAAAGGAGATGGGACCCTTTATGTGATGAATCAGAGATTAGCTTGGATGCTGGAGAATCGAGATACGGTTGCTGTATCTCATAAATATGCTGATATCAAAAGTAAGTAGTAATTTAATGCAATGTCAAAAATAATACCTTTTATATAAAGATAAATTAGTACTTTCCAGTAAAGAAGTTTGATGAAAGTCAACTCCACTAGGCCAGTATTTTTGAATAAGGCCCTTCACCTATAATTAAGTGTAGGCTTGAGCCTTTGTGGCTTTGGTGATATAAATTAACTGATTAGGATTTTATTATATGTATAAAAATGGACAATTCACAGCAACAATGCCAAAAAACCATGTCATTAATGTTTTTTTCTTGTTTTCATTATATTATATTATATTTCTTGTGTTCATTTATAAATGGTTTTTCGTGTTTTCATGTGAATATTGTACACAGTCAAACAATTCTCATGTATATCATAAATAATTCATAATTATTTTGGGGTTATTGTTTTTCGACATCAATCTATCTATATAAAACTAAACATGGAAAGTAATTCTGTTTTAAGATAGAATAATTGAGTATTTGTAGTTAAATTATTGTTTCAAAATGTGGGTATAGAATTTCTATAAATTAAGTAGTGCTTGTATCATATTAAATCAATTGAAATTTTGTTAGAAAAATGAAACGGTTATAAATTTTGTAGTTATCTTTAATGCATAGTCTTAAAATTAAAGACATTTTAGATATACAAATGTGTCTGTTTTAGCTCAAAAAATCTCACCCGCGGGAAAGCCAAAAGTTCAACTACAAGTTGTGTTACACGATGGCACTTGTTCCACATTTCATTTTGTCAATCCGGCCGGGGCAGATGCACAGGCTAAAGATCGGGACCAGGTTAAAATGTTACTACAGAATCTACTGCCCAAATTCAAAAGACAAATTGATGGAGAACTTGAGATGAAGTCAAGGTAATTTATTTATATTTAACAAAGATAAAGAATGATGCAGATTATTGGCAGAGAGAATTTTTATATCTTATCTTACTAATATAATAAATGTGAATGTGTTAGATGGATGTTTGTTTGAAAGTATCTCCAGAATGGCTGCATGGATCTCGCTGAAATTTTTCGTAAATGTAGAGCATAGTCTGGAAGAACACATAGGCTACTAATTAAGTTTTTTTATTTATTCCACACGGATGAAGTTACTAGTGTATTATAGATAAGAGATAGATAGATTATAGATAGTGTAGAATAGATAGAATCATATTTGTATGTACTGCAATGATAATATTGGAAAGAAATTTTCTTTTTAATTGCATATGATTTTTTTTTTAATTTTTATCGTTTTTAGTACAGTTATCTATTTAGCATTTTCTATATTTAGATATAGTTCATTTTGTAGGAGTATTAAATGTTATTTTCTCTCGGAAATTGCAGACTTTTGTCCCTCCATCCAACCTTAAAGCATTTATATGAAGATTTAGTTATATCAAAAGTTTTAAGCAGCGAGGAATACTGGAATACACCAACATTAAAGCATTATACCGATTCCAGTAATGTTAAACAAGAGGCTGGTAAGAATTACAACATACTATGTTTTTACTTTCTTTTTTTTAATTTTCATACATTAAAATAGTAAACTTATGTTGCAAAAAGAGTTCAAATGGATGTAATTATGAAAATAAAATCCTGAATTTTTCTTTTTTTTTAAATTAAAATATCAGATTATTTTTAATTTAATAATATTTCTTGTACCATTCCAAGTACCCTCAAGCTTTGGATAGGATGATAATATTTGAATGGTAGGATTTAAACTCTCTACCATAATTGAATATCCGTGTCCTTAACCATTAGGCTATTGGCACTATGAATTATTAGTTAACATTTTTTTTCTTTACACCGATATTTTTTGTATTCATTCAGGTGTGTCCGGAGCATTTCTTGCTGATATACAACCTCAAACAGACGGTTGCAACGGACTGAAATATAACCTTACACAAGATATTATAGACGCTATATTCAAAACATATCCAGCTGTTAGAAAGAAACACGTTGATTATGTTCCTAATAAGATGACTGAAGCTGAATTTTGGACCAAATTCTTTCAATCGCATTATTTTCATAGGTAATTAATAAAATCAGATATAATCTTATTCTATTTCTACTATTGTTATTTTAAAAAACATCTTTCGGAAAGTCAAGCAAACCGCACTGGGCCAGCATGGTAGACTATGGCCTAGTTACCCCTAACTTAGGGTAGGCTCCGAGGCCTTCAGTGGGGACTTATATTGAGCTGATGATCATGATGATTGTCAAATCTATTTATACTCTTATGATATGTTTCAAATAAGAATTTATAATAACCAATATACTATAATGACGTCATAGCTTTGGGAGATCAAAAAATTAAGTATATCCTAAAGTCCCACTTAAAAGTAACATTTACAGTAATAATTTAGTCACTCGGTTAATAGCAAATAAGTATACTAACTTAGATTTTTAAGTTATCTTTAATATTACAGGGATAGGATAGCTTCGTCCTCGAGTAAAGACTTATTTGGGGAGTGTGCCAAGTTGGATGACCAAGCTATTGCCTCCGCTATGAAGAATACTACATTAGACCTCACAGTATGTAAATATTTATTCTTAAATGTGCATGGTAAGGCATTATTAATTTTTAATGATTTTAATGATACACTAATAATATAAATGCAAAAGTTTTATTACACTCTGATGAAGTTACGGCTGCTTGATGGTTTATTAAATTATTATTATTATTTTCTCATAAGGTTCATGAGAAATTAGATAATATTATTAATAATTCTCTTTAAATTTCAAAAAATATTAATAATTTCAGACTGTTATGAAAAGGGTTTTATGAAGAAAAAAAAAACAAAAATAATAAGACAGAAAATTCGGAACATTTTAATTAAATTTTAATAATTAAGACAGGACAATAATCTTACTTCTACCTAATATTATAAATTCGAAAGTTTAGATGTGTGGTGGTGGGGATGGGTTAGGAGGTATCTCCAGAACGGCTACATGGATCTTGATGAAATTTGCCACAGATGTAGAACATAGAAGAACGCATAGGATATTTGTTAGGTATTTTTTTTCATTAAATAATTATTATGTTGTGTAGGTGGATTTACCGCAGTTCATAGAGCCGGTGCCTCTGCTGCCGACTGATGATGAACCGACGCACGACAAGGACCGCGGCGACAGCACCTCAATACATCGCAATATGATCAAACGCTTCAACCAACACTCTATTATGGTGAGTCATCAAATAATAATAATCATGAGACAGATTATTAATGTGTGACTAAAAATTATTTTTGTAGTCATTTATTAATTTGTGATTTTTCATTATTATTAAAAAATATCGAATGAGAAATTATTAATTAATGATAATTATAGTAAAGTAATAATATATATATATATATATATATATATATATATATATATATTTAATTATTAATAAGTGACTCCTACAACTAAAGGGATTAATAACACTTGACCGGTAATTAAAAAAGACTAAACGTATTTTTTTTCTGAAAGTAAATGCAATTTTGTATGTAATAAATGTGAAGAAAATATTTTATTGTGTAGTGTTTTTTTATTTTTAGATGCTAAATTCTTTATATGTATTTCCAGGTGCTCAAAGCTAGTCATAAAACAAATTCTAGTAGTAGTAATAGCAGTAATAGTAAAACGACAAATAATAATAACAAAGTAGTAGAAAATGGTGTGCGAGAAACAAACGGTGTGACGGAAAAGAGGCCGGCAGAAGATAAATGTAGTACAGAACCTTTAGAGAAAAAGAAGAGAATATTAGAGAAAATACATTACGAAGATCTAGAAGATTCAAATAAGAATGCTGAGACGCAAGAATTAAAATTATCAAAGGTAAGTTAGAAAAACAAAATTTATTATAATACAAAATGCTAATGGCACGTCGGATACAAGAGCATGCTTGTTACTGACGTGCCAATTATTGTTGTATAGTTCATTTATTGATGAAATTTAATATATATTTTTTTAATTTCAAATATTACAAATTTATTTTTTCTATTAAAGCAAGTTGTATTTGCTTTTCATCTTTACTTTTTTTTAGTTAAATTATTGTCTAATTTATTAGTTTTTTCTTGTTATAGGTAGAAAGGTATTTATTAGGGCCGTCATCACAAATGAGTCAAACAGTAAACACGACTAACCCACCACCCTTGTCTGCGCTCGCCTCAGTCTGTCAGGTAACATATTACAATATTACTATTATGATATAAATGCGAATGTTTGGATGTATGAATGGATGTTTGTTAGAAGGCATTTTCTGTAATGGTGTTTTCTCACTAAAATTTGTCATAGATGTAGAACATTGTCTAGAAAAGCACATAGTCTACTAAGATTTTTGATCCCTCGCGGACGGGAATCTCTTTACGTTCTATCGAATATTCTGTCAAATAGCGAGCTGCTTAAAGTTTGTATTGCACTGTGTAGGCGTGGAGTGGGGGCCAACAATGCTTGCGGCCGGTGCGTGTGGGCGCGGGGGCAGCTGTGGGCGCGCTAGGCGAGCTCAGCCCGGGCGGCGCTCTCATGCGACATCAGCACGCCGCCTCCATGGCACGTCAGTACAACATAATCCTTAATACATCAATACTTATATATAATATTACAAATAAAAATATGTATTTAAATTTTATTAAAAGTAATTTATTCAAAATGGTCAAATAAGATTTCATTAAAATTAAATCATTAAAAATATTAAATACAATTTCATTAAATTTATTTCATTAAAAATATTAAATAAAATTTCATTCAAATTAAATAATTAAAATATCAAGTAAAATTTCATTAAACTTTAATCATTAAAATCTTCGTCTATCACAGTTAACTGACGTGTACCTTGATATAATTTCCTTGTACACTAGAATTAATACCAGTGGAGGTGAAGTCTGAGTTGCACCGGCTGTACCTGTCTTGTGGCGAGGTGCTGCGCGAGCTGTGGCGCAGCTTCCCGCAGCCGGGGGGCGGGCCGGGCGAGGCGGAGGAGGCCGGCGCACGCGCACACGCTTTCTACGAAGCATTACTAAGGTTCAGGAATGTTAAATTGAGGCCTTTTGAGGTAAGTGTTCGTGATATTTCATTTAAAGTGTAAAGCGATTTTTATATGTATTAAATTTATTTATGTATCTGATGTTTGGATAAATTTGGAGTCGACATTTTATTAAATTGCTTCTTACCATTGTCTGCGTTGAATGTCATATTGTATGCAATATTTTATCTAGAAATAATTTTAATTTCAGGAAAAGATGTTAAGAGATTTAACACCTTTAGCTACAACGTTGACCAAACATTTGAACCAAATGATAGATACGGCGTGCGCTAAGTACGCGGTGTGGCAACAGCGGCAGGCCAAGCTGCGGTAGTAGTAACCAAATGCAACCTTATTGTTAACCGAATACAGTTCAATTTACTATCAAATGACCTTTGAAAAGGCACAAAATGAAACTTTATAACCATCCCGATAAAGTTCAATAATACATTCAAATGCCTTATGCATTAATAGAGTTAGGCATAAAGTGAGCCTTATGTCCGACTATTCAGAGTTCAATTTTGAATGCCTATGAACGAATTTGTTAGGCAATAGTTGATTTAATATGAATTGAAATTATTGAAGGAAATAACTTGTTACGAGATGATTGCAATATTGACTTATGAACAGCATTTTTTAAAAAGTATAACGGTTCATCAGGTCGGTAAAACATTTAAATTATTCTACTTTCATAGTCAAGACAAATTATGTGTTTTTCATAGCAAAGGTATAGTCAGTCGTCGACTATGAGCAGGCAACTTTTCAACAACTTCTCGACAACAAAGGCAACTTCACATACGCAAACTGAAACTGAAAACATACTACTTTAGACGTAGATATGGCTTGAATATGAGCGTAGAGTTGACACGGTGTCAAATATAAATTGCGAGAAAAAAAACTAAGGAGTTTATAATTTATTATTCATTAAAATTATTTTATTTCATTAAAATTAATACATTAAAATCATTAAAATGTAATCATTAAGAATTGTAAACTCCGCCCGCTCACAGTCGGGGGCAGACAATACAAGACAATACGTTTGCTTTGAAAACGAAAGTGTGAAACTTAAACGGCCATGTCGAATTTAGAAATAAGAACGATATTCAAGTATTTGTATGACAAATGATATTTATACGAAGACGACAATTATGTGTATATAGCCAATAGTTTGCTATGAAAATTATGAGTGAATCAGCTTCGAACCAAAATAAACTTTATTACAATAGAATATGATTCATTTTGTGTAACATTTTGTTGATTATGACATTAACAATTGCTTTATTTTTGCGAGAGAAATTATGTTAACAAAAATTAGCGATTTGTGATTAAATTTAGGTAATTTTATTATAAAATAAACTCTTATTTTATAAAGATTTTTGGATACAAAATTAGAATCATTTAATTTTAATAATGCCAGTAACTTTTTAATAGTAGCTTTTTTCAGAAATTATTATTGATTTCTAATTAATTTCGTCACATTGTAACAAAATAAAGATTATGCATTGGGGGGCTTCCATAAATTACGTGGGGTGTTTAAGGGGTGGAGGGGGTCGAGTCAAATCTCATCTAATCTTACGTTGGAGAGATGGTCTCGGTGAATATCACGCAATTATTTTTTCTGATTCAAACAAAAAAAATTATACTATTTTGGTGGGGTAATGGGGGAGGGGGTTGAATAAAACCTCACGACATCTCACCAGGGAGGAGGGAGGTGCAGAAAATTAAAAAAAAACACCTCACGTAATTTATGGACACCCCCTTGATTACGATTATGTGCAGTCATGCACGTTTGTCGTAATTTTTTTTTTAATAATTGTATTAAAAACTCGCCATATTTTTTTTAATTAACTTCAACATTTGAAATACGTAAACCGTCTCAATTATTTATTGTAAAATCCCATTATTATAAAGTTGCCCAAAAATTTACTTCATATCAATGTAATATTTATCTAAATAAATATAAAAATGATGTCATAAATTTATGTTTACGATTAAATAATAATTCGACAATAATCATTATAGTATTAAGCGAAAGTCAAAATTTTTCACGTTACCATATTGGATGAGTTAGGTTTAAAATTAGTGAACACAAATTGATATTGTTTAGTTTTAATTTTCGAGCTGAATGTACTCCTATGTATATGATCACAAAAGTTATTTTATATTGAATATTCTTAACTATTATACCACTGAAATATAAAGTTGAATTTGGCATTAAAAATAAAATGTTCAAATTTATAATTTTTTTTTCTATAAAATGACTTTTGTGGTTGACTGTACATTATGAAAAGCAATAACTTACTATGTAAAACAAATCGTTGAATAACGCTTTAACTTATTTAAAATTAAGGTTAACTGCCACACTCAAGTCGATAATTAGTCACTAAGGGATACTTACGGCAATCGAGTAGTGGCTCTGAGCTGACTCAAAAGTTCAAGTCACAAGTGAACTGTTGAGTCTATATTGTCAGATCGAGGATCAATGCGATGTTTTACAAGTTTGTGGTTCTGATGTCTTATTCATCATCAGCTCACAAATCGTCCCCACCGAGGGGCCCAGAGCCAACCCTAAGTTAAGGGTGATTAGGCCATAGTCAACCACGCTGGCCAAGTGCGGGTTGGCTTCACACATATCTTTGAATTTCTTCTCAGATATGTGCAGGTTGCATCACGATGTTTTCCTTCACCGTAAGAACGTCGGATAAATGTACATATGTAAATCGGAAATAGAAAAACACATTGGTACATGGCAGGATTCGAACCCAGTTTCTGCAGATTGCAAGTCAAGTGCTTGACCCCTGAGCCACCGACGCTGTCTTATTAGAGAGACAAAACAATGCATTAGAAATCCGTTAACTCACGAAATTTGAATCCTAAATCAGTGATGTTAGATTGAATTCAACTGAGCTGCGAGTCACTGATCTTTACACAACCGTCAACTGATCTGCAACTCATTTATTTGAGTTATTGTCTGACTTTGAATATGGCAGTTATATTTATAAATATATTAAAAAATCAATATGTGACAATTTCTTATTCAATATAGTCGAATAGGTGTTACCGAAGTTAAAAATTATTGGAGGAAAGGAAATTATAAACAAATAAAGACTGATTTCCTCATACTAATTTAGTTGTTACCTCTAATATAGAAATTAGTTTTATATAGTTGTCGCCTGCGCGGAATTAAAAAATAAATAATTGAGATAAAAACTACCCTATGTCCCAAGTTGGACCAAATTATAGATTAAATTATCCAAACTTTCGTGAGACATAATAATTAACTTATATAAAAACGGATAAATACTCACGTATATTCGTCCGGTGGCGGCACCGACTAGTTTTGAGTGCATCGGGGGCCCTTCATCAGGGTGAGTGGGACTGGCATTATATCGGTTTGTTCGAGCCCATCGGGCTCAGTGACCCTCAGCTCACTGAGCCCGATGTTTAACCGTTTTTATACAAATTATAGATGGTTACAAAGTTTGATAAGAATTGGTTCAATAGTTTCGGAGTTTATCGTGAATACATCGTGATACGAAATTTATTTATAAATAATTAATATAGTACGACATAATTATCTGGCCCGTTAGTAGAAATGGAACTAAGCTGTGTAATTTTTATATCTACGTTGTTTTTCCATATATTTTTGAGTAAGTAATCGCGATAAGACACTCCCACCGGTCTAAATAAATTTGTAGCACTATAAATATAAACACAAAAATATATTGCTATCTCACTTGTTTACATGGAGTATGAAAAGGATGGAAATATTTTACAAGTATTTCATGTCAAACTTGTAATAGACTTTGACAGATGAGTATTATGGTTTTTTTCTCTTAAAAAGTATTTACTGAAAATCTCCATTTAAAAAAAAACGATGATTTTCTTTCCTCTAATAATTAAAAAAAACTGTTTGCTAAATTTATGTAATTATAGGTCTGAAATATTTCATTCTTTGTTACGGCATGCAAAAAATCTTTCGTTTTGATATTTTTTTTTAAATTCGTAAAAAAAATTACAAAAATTGCGCGCCAAATTGAAATGTCATCTACACCGTGTTGTAATAACAGGGATTTAGTATTTTTTTTTTTCATATTGTATATATATTTTTTGTGTAATTTAATTTTAGTTCAGAAAGATCTCCGGGTGTTAAAATGTTCCTCCTATCTTTCTGTTGAATTGTAAATTTACTTTAGTTTGTATGTATTTAATTGCGCGCGCAAAAGACGCGCGTTCGTTTTCAGTTCATTTCTGTTATATGCGCAATAAATGATTTTTTAAAAGAAAAACTTTTATTTTTTATCTTTTGACATAAATAACTAAAAAAAAATGTGTCAAAACCTTAATACCTCTTATTTAGCCGTCTTCGAAAAGAAGGTGACGAATACGTCTTTATTTTTTAAAATAAGAACAAAAAGATTTTTGGTCAAATTTAAGGTTATTATGACAATTTTGACATTTCTATCAAAAACATTTTTTTTACGAAATACTTGAAGATAAATAAAAGAAAAAATTTAATATTTATAAGTTTTAATTACACAATCAAAATAGAGTACATTATCTGGAATGTTTAGATATTTTAAAAAGCAACTTAAAGACGGAAACATAAAATTATATAATGAATGAATATTGTCTTGTTTAAATCGCGTATATTTCAGTTGACTAAAAGTACGATTCCACTGGCCTTCGTACAAAACGCAGACAACGCAACAGATTGCTTGTTGATACGTCTACGTGGGCCAGTGGACACGTACCTTAAAAGTGCAAAGTAAATACACATTTGTATCTAATATTTACATTTATTAATTCTAAATAGTTTGACCTAACAGTTTGCTTTTCATAGTTAAGTACTAACGAGTAAAAGACAAGAACTTTATATTGAGGTTATTTTGATCGCTATGGACATTATAAAAAAATATAGTAAAAAAAAAGTTGCTAAATTTTATACATTTTTCATATTACTTATGAAAGTAGAAAATCTTTAGTTACTATCTGTGGGTTTCTGATACTAAAAACCCTATTAAAATATATCCTTATGTTTGTTTTGTCAAAGATTAAGACTGGATAAAACGGGAATTTCAGTTTCAGAAACCCACTTTAATACTATAATTAGACATAAAGGACTTCAGACTAATTTAAAATTACCGATATAAAGCAGATTACACATTCAGTTACAACTGAAGTTGTGCTGACAGCTTATATAATTTATGAAATAAAAAATTATGCATTCAAGCATAAATAATGACATTTATATATATGTACAATATAAAACAACTTAAAAATAAAATTGCAAGCTTTCTTTATTTCTTAAATATAATAAATATTTCTCTATATAAATAATTACTCATAAATTGAGTTTATTTAAATAATTTTCACTAAATATTATAAAGTTTACATAATAGCGTTATATTTTCATTATATTCTAACTCAAAGTAGACAAATTACTTTATCATGATACATATTTAGATTATAAAAGTGAGTTTCCACTGATTCATTCATACAAAAACATACACAAGATGTATGAATGTTCATACATTTCAAAACTATTGACACATAATTATAATTAATAAAAAAAAGCTAAGTAAAATTGAAACACTAACTTAGTTGCATTGACTTTTTAACACATTCAATGCTGCTACGATTTTGTCGTATGAAAGTGAACTCGCCTGGCGAGTGGCAGATAACTTTTTTTTTAATTTAAGGATTATTATTTTAAGATCTTCGGTGGCTCAGGGGTCAAGTTGACTTGCACTCTACAGGTCCTGGGTTCGAATCCCATCATGTACCAATGTGTTTTTCGATTTCCGATTTACATATGTACATTTATCCGACTTTCTTACGGTGAAGGAAAACATCGTGATGCTGCACATATCTGAGAAGAGATTCAATGATATGTGTGAAATCAACCCGCACTTGGCCAGCGTGGTTGACTATGGCCTAATCACCCGTGAATAAGTGAAAATGGTGAGCTGATGATGATGATGATTGTTTTATTTTATGTGCCAATACTTTCTAATTATTGAACATTGAATATTAGTTCTTACAACTATGATATCGAGTAAAATAAATTTTGCGAATTGATGGCAGTGGTACTATTTTAGAATCGTCTTAAAGAGGTAAGCAGTAATAACAAAGTTTTATCATTCCTTATGAATAGTAGTAGAGGTTATTATAGTGCGAGATGAGGCGGCCACCCAGGGCGCCAAGCGAAGTCGAATATAAAGGGGCCTCTTCGGCAACCTTTAAGAACCCTATCTTAACTTCGCCTACACAAAAAAAGGTGCGCTTGAAAAATGTCGCCCAGGGCGCCGAAAATGATAAAACCGGGCCTGTATGTATGTACTTTTTTATAAGATGGATCGTGTCGCATTCGTTGCGTTATATTTGGCTCGTTCACAAAGCGACACGTGCTACCGGTCCAAAGGTCCATCGACTGACGTCGCCTCTCTCTGGCCTCGAGACAAACAACACTACGTTTATGCATACACGACAGATCGGTTATTATTTTAAGCTAATTTCAAAGAAAATGTTTGTGTTTTTCGTAATGTAATAAGTAGATTTAATGTTAGAAATATTATGTACATTGTCGCATTAAAATTATATATTTAAATATATAGGCCACTAATCGAAGCTAAATAGGCAAGAAAAATATACAATAGTTCTAGTATACATAGATATTAAAGCTAAAACACATATTAGCAACTAATAAATTAGTACGTCACGTGACTTTGTAGAAAAAAAATTGCTAACCTTGAAAACTTTGAAAGGTCAAAGGTAGACATTTTATACAATTTCAAATTACATTATTTATTCGGTTAAATATTTTAAATACAGAAATAAGTAAGTTAAAAATAGCCTGACTATTAATATAAAAAAAAATTCTGTCTGTTATATATCTATATTAATATTATTTAGAAAAATAGAAAACATTATTTCTTAAAGTTCGAAAAAAAAAATTTTTTTTTTATGGAATTACACACAATTTTTTTTAAATTACAACGCAATTACTTTGACAGTAATCAATAATGAAATATAACATTCAGAATTTTTTTATATAAAAAAAAAATTCAAAACAAAAAAAAGATACCTTATCCGCTATATGATTTTTTTTATATTCCTAACCAGACTATAACAAACACATAACTTTAGAATCCCACTTCATTGACATATTGCCGTCTCTGTTATATCAGAGAGGAGGAAAAGGGATGGCAATATACAACAGTGGAACACACAAAGAGTGTATAACTTACCACATAGACTTGTCAAACAAGGATTTCTATCCCGATGAGGGGCGCTAGTATCGCGGTTAGTTCTGTCTGAAAATATAAAGAAACCTAAATAAATAATATAGCATTCGTTGCTTTATATTTGGCTCGTTCACGTACCGACACGTGTTGCCGGCTCAAAGGTCTGACATCGACTGACTTCCCCCTCTCCGGCATGTACTTATGTCGTGTACGTTCCAACCAACATCCATCCATCCAAACAAACGCATTTGTAAGATTCAAATTGCCCATAATTATGTATAACTTGAGAAGAAATTGATCTCGTATCTATATTATTAAGATACACTTAGATATAAACTAATTCTGTCAAATTCGACTTCGTATAAATATTTTTCAATGTAAAAAGATCTTTGCGATACTTTTTTGACGTTGGCGTTAGTGTGCTGTCATTTAGTTTGACATATACCTTTATGTTTGTTAGTCTATCTGAATGCTTTTATGATCCAGACGATGAGCAATATCCCGATGATGAGTCCAATGGTGATGAAGATGAACATCTTCCTGCGATACCGGCGCTGGTACTCCGCGGCCTTCGCCAGCTCGTCCACACCAGCCTCCACACTGGCGCCCGCCGCCTCTATGTGACTCTCCACTGTGTCTAGAAACATACAAGTTACTTTATAAACTAACCTTCATTTTTTTTAATTAAAAAAAAAACAACTGCTCTATTCAAAAGATGAAATAGCGCCATCTATTGTCTATAAGTGCAAATATTTGGATGTATGTATGGATGGATTTTGTTTTTGTATCTTCAGAACGGCTGCAGGGATCAAGATGAAACTTGCATAGATGTAGAACATAGTCTGGAAGAACACATAGGCTATTAAATTTTATTTTTAAATCCCTGCGGACGAAGTCGCAGGCAACTACTAGGTTTATATACTCGAAAAGAACAAAAAAGGATTTAACCCATTTATAATGTCAGTGTCGATAAGCCTTAAGCTAATGTGTTACTTACCAACAGTCTGAGCTTGCGCACTGACCATCTCAGCCAGGTCCTGCATGATCTGGTTGACGTCAAGTACATCAGCCTCGATCTTGCTGAGCTGCGCCTCTCGCTCCAGCAACATGCTCGTCTCGAACTGTACTAAACGAGCCTACACAATAAACAATACAAGATTCATTTGTACTAGGCGACAAACTGCGAATATCTGTATTAGAATGTCACCCCATTGGTGAAATTATTGACTTCTCATCATCATGACTATACGTCACCGATAAGGGGCTCAGAGCCTACCTTAGGTTAAGGGCGACTAGGCCATAGTCAACCATGCTAGTCTAAAACAGCAGCAACGCTATCATAGTGCCAGTGGAAAAAGGGTCTAACACATAAAAATGCATACATGATCCTATTTTAAGTTTGAAAATAATCAATTGAAAATAAAATAAACTCTACTTAAATAAATTAAACTATTTTTGTCACTAATTCATCAGTTATTTACGAGTAATTATAAAATGAATATTTTTCCATTACTACTAGAAAGATTCCAAGAAAAAAAAATGTCGTCTAGTAATTCCACTAAAAAATCCTTTGTATCAATTACCTGTGCCTGCTGATTCGCCAGTAGCGCGGCCTCTTCATCATCAGCTGCTGCCTGCTGCTCCAAAAAACGTGGATCGTTCCTCACGCGAGGCTTCGACGGCATAAACGCCGCCATCTTCTCCGACACTTGCTACATAACCACAATCACAGCATACGTTAACTACAAACTTAACTTTAAAACATTGATATGAAAGTTAAGTGTTCTCTTTTATCTGTGTAGTATCCAAACTTTATGGAGACGAGTTATTTCGCAAGTAATCTTCAAATCATAAAGGAAACGACAAAATTAGTAGACATGGATATTGAAGATTGATTAATTTAACTAAAATATAAGTGTTTCGTAAAACTTCGTGTTAACACGTTGAGCGCCACGCGTATTTCTAATACAATCCCGTTCAGTCCACGAGCGCCGCTTATACGAACTGGTATTAAAGGGCCGGTGTTTCCGATCGCAGTACAAAATAGTTTACATTTTTAAACGCAAAATAGTGTAAAATTTTATAGTTCTCATGTTATACGCTGTCAGCCACCGATGGTTGACGCGACCTAAATAGAAAATTTAGTGTCAGCCACAGATGGCTGACGTGGCGCTCAACGTATTAAATAAAAACGTATAGGAATTAATATTACCTTAACATGAATAGTTGCTGGAAAAGGCATTTGATACAATGACACTATTTCTTTATTACTAACTTTCTATGTAAACAAATGTTACAACACAATGTGGGTAGTTTAAATTAAAATCTGTCAAATTTGACATATGTCAACATAAGTAGTAAACAACGCCATCTTATTAAAGAGTTAGAAAACTGTAGTCATATTTAAAAAAAATTGTTATTATACTATACTATTTTTTAGGGTTCTGTACCTCGAAATGAAAAAAAAGGGTAACCTTAGAAGATCACTTTGTTGTCTGTCCGTCCGTCTGTTAAAACCCTTTTTATTTACTGACATAGCCCCATTGGAGTATTCCTCATAATTTGCCACGAAAACACATCTAAGTAATTTAAATAATCATGTCTCTATGTCGATCTTTTTTATTTTATAAAAAATCTTGTTGGCGGAGAATGTGTTAAGTCTACAACTCACCTTTTGCACTGTTGAATACTTTTCCAATGCATCTCTGAATGCTTGCGTGAGTCTCTCGACTTGCAACTTCTGTGGCTTATCCCCTCTTCGTACGATAACACCTAGCCGTTGTATATCTCTAGCAGTTGCTGATACCGATCCATTTACATTCTGTTGTGCATCATGACTGGAAACATAACATATCTTTATTTTATTCCTGCAGATATGGTAGAATAATAGGCGAATAGTATTTATAATTCTAAAATTATAAATGCGAATGTTTGGATGGATGGATATTTAATGGTATGCACCGAATAGCTGCATGGTTCATGCTGAAATTTGGCAAAGATATAGAACATAGCCTGGAAGAATACAGAGGCTAATAATTTTTTTTTATTTAGTGTGATTGGAGTCATGGGCGACAGCTAGCATGTACACTGATATATAAACACGGCTAAACACTCACGTATATTCGTCCGGTCATATGCGAATGACGAATATACGCGACTGTTTGGCCGTGTTTATATATCAGTTTAGTATAATGTCTCACGAAAGTTTGAATAATGTAATAGCTAGTATGTAATTAAATATCTGACTAATGGGTAAGTCCCTTCAGAGATAACAGTAGTATGAACATATAAATACATCCAAACCTTATACTCTACCCAACACTCATAAAAAACATTCATATTAATATTGCAAATGCTAAAATTTAGATGGATGGAAAGATGTATGTTACATAGCTCCTGAACTTCTTAACAGATTTCAATGAATTTTGACATAGATGTAGAACAGAGCATGGAAGCATAGACTAATTACTAAGTCTTTTAATTAGTCTAGTAAAACAAAATAATACTTTAATATACTTACATCTTATCTCTTAACTGGACACTATCGTTAGGACCTCCAATTTGCTTCATCATCTTCTCCAATGATCTCAGACCACTATTAATAGCATTAATATTGTCAGCGATACCCTCACTCAAGTTATATAGTTCCGTGGGACTGAAGTCTGCAAAACCCACTGTAGGGGGTGCAGCGGTTGACCCATAATCCCGACTTGAACCACTGATAGGTTCCCGCTCAGACATTTTGGTACTGTAAAAAGAAATTATTATCATATAAATAGTATTTACAATATTATATAGATTTTGTAAGCAATACTTTTTTAATGGCTGATATGTATGTATGGAAGATATATGGATGTATATACTACATATTGTGTCTAGCAAAAGGACTGATGATGATGATTTTTTTTTTACCTTTAAATGTTTGCAATAAAGCAGGTAACAGGTTTAAAAAAAAAATTAAGGATCACCAAATAACTTAACAGTACTTAATACAATTAGTCATAAGATAACTTGAACATAATCAACTTAATTGACTATTAGTAGTGATTATTTGGCAACAAAATTTTGTGTAAGGCATTATGAAAATCGATGAATCACAATCATCTTTCCTGTGGAAGGTTAATCAATTGAAACTGGATAAGTAAGAGTAAATTGGACTACAATATTTTTGCTCATATACAGATATTTCTTTAACCGGAGTTTCTCACTTATCAATGTTTAAATTTATTTAGGTATTTATAACGGAAATTGTGTATTTTAATTAACTTATTTGAGATTTTCGTAATCATAAAAAAACAGTAATAAAATTTTTGGGTAATTTTAGCATTAAATATATTTTTGTTGGCTTGAAAATTCTTGAATGAAAACAAAGGAACACAAAAACATAATTGAGTAATAATCATCATACATCAGTAATCATGTATTTTTAAGAGGTTTATAAATGCGTAATAAAAAATGTTTGAAAAGTAAAAGTAAAAAGTACCTTTGAAATGATGCAATGCAAAACTAGCCCTCGTTCAAAATATGGCACAATAATTTCCTCCGCGCCGTAAATAAACCTACTGTGATGTAGCCAATGAATCACTATAAATTACAAATATTTTAACAGACAACTACTAAAAAGATACAAATTCGATTTTCACCGCAAAAAAATAAAGTATTTCAAGAATGTAATAGAGAAGTGTAGGTATCGATAAACGAAACCGGAATGTTGAATAATATTACCTTTAAATACGCAGTGTTAATAATTTGGACAACGAATAAATGATAAAATTTGCTTTTGTAATTCTGTCAATGTCTTGTGTCAAGCAATCAACCACTTGTCAATTAAATGTCAAAGTCAAACACTTGACTTTCTTTTTTTTTATTTCACAAGAAATGACAGAAACAACAATGATAATAAGTTTACTATATTTAAAATATTTTCCCGTCTCTTTGTGTCTGAATTTATTCAAAAATAAATAAAATAAAAGTATTTAGCGTACATCAATTGCGATACGTATTTTTTTTATATATTATAGATTTATGGCAGTTAAATTTGTGACAGATCATTAATTTTATTTAGGGCACCTTAAATTTGTATTTCAAAAATAAAATATAGCAACTTATTTATCATGTTATATAGTTTAAAAACTAAATTGTTCTAACTAAAAAAATCAAATGATTTTTAAATTATGCTATTATTAAAAATATAAGCAATTTTTTGATACTTAGCATACGTTTTTCGTTGTATCATTATTGTGTTACGTATAATAATACGTAGTCAAAAAATTGACAAGTTATTGAGTAATTGCTAAAAAAAAATTATTAAAATTTGAGCATTAAATTAATATTTAAATCCATTAAAGCATTTAAATGAAGCAATTATTTACGTATTTTATTAATTAATTAAATGTTTAGCAAATAATCATAAAATTGGATCTGGAAATAACCAGAGAAATAATTGAAAATTAAACATAATTAAAAAAATACATATTATTTACGTTGTTCAAAAAATGTCTAATTTCATTAATTAAATTACATAAAACTAATATATGTACTGAATTTTGCATTTTTCATGCTAATCGCGTGCACACAATTCCTGGACATAATCATGTTCAAGCTATTATTTAAAATTAAAAATAATCAAAATAGAAAAAACATGGCAGTGACACGTAGTTAGACTTAAATGGCGTTTGCATTGACTTCTTTTTCTTCAACACTGTAAAGAGGTCCATAAAAATATGAAACCTCCTTGGATGAGATGCTACGTGTTTGCGTGCATTAAATTCATGATATGAATGTGTCCGGGATGATCAACTGTTACAAAACAAGAAAACTTCTCGTCACAACAAAGTTTCTTCGCATTCACACCGGATAATTTTATGCAAGCCAAAATGTCTTTCTTTAAAATTAGACGTAATTCGAAGCAACGAATTCAAGTTACGGTAAATAATTGATCAGCAGGGTAAGCACGGCAAAATATTAAAGTTGAGCCATTTAAAAATTTCCACAACTAACAAATTCAACTTCTATTTGTTATTTTCAAACGGAGAATTAAATAATTGGAACGTACTCACCAAAGTTGACATCATAAAACTTGATCACACCGTCACATCACGTCTTACTTACGTATATTATACGAAACACCGAAAACAAAGTGCTAATTTGTCCTTTTAAACAAGGGTAGTTACAATTTCCAAAAATATATTTCTGATCGTATGACTAGCCAATTAAAGAAATAACAATGGAAACACATCGTATCAGGATGTACAAACAAGGACGTGGGAGTTTCACTATCCCACTTCTGATCTTAAGGACCAGAAGCAGGGAAAATTAAAAAAATAATCTCTTATACACTACTACAGTACTTTTTGAATTAATAAGAAAACTAACAGAATTGAATAAATGTAATTAACACTAAAATGATTTAAAAATACAACATTAACTTAATCAACTATCAGAGTTAAAATGATTAATTATTTTGGCTAGTCAAACGGGCAGAGCTTCCGCTGGCTTCAGTGTTCGGTGGCGAGTGTGTCCCAAAAATGAGGGTGCGGTCTCTTATATTGGCATCACCTCACCATGTCGGAGGAAGCCATTGTGATTATATTTAAAGTAGGATGTTATAGAGTAGCCATTGTCAACTGAATTACTGTTTAACGCATAGTGTGCAATGTTTAATGTTTATTGATATTGTAAAATCTTGTAAAAACTTTTAATTTGATCTTACTTTATAAGTTACGTTTTTCCTAGACTAAATAACATTATTATCGTAATTTAAGTAACGACCAATCAGAGCAGAGCACCTGGCTTAAGAGGGGTCGAGGCACCAGCTTTATATAAGGCGTTTTGACAGTTGTTACGAATATAGTCGTGAAGTGAAGACGGATCGAGTTGCTTGCACTTTGTCGTCGAGAAAAGTGTTTCTCCGACTGTTTCTGCGGCAGTTGAGTTTACTACGGAAAGTGACTGTCGGCGGTCGATGGGTCAACACCTTACCAGCCGAGGCACGGCAGCAGAACACTTCTGCCGTGGGTGCCTACTGGAACGGACATTGAATCATCGTGAAAAGTGCACCATGAACCCTTCTGCACGGAGGGAGGCCGCCCTCGGCGGGCAATGGAGTTCCCCGCATCCATTACCGCCGCCGCCGCCGCCGCCGCCGCCGCCGCCTCCGCCTTTCACTTTTTAACCTTTTAATTTTACATTTTTTAATTGTTTTAATGTTTTTTAACCTAGATGTAAGAAAATAATGTGATATAATTTTAAGACTATGTAATTGATTTTTAAACACTTAAAATAAAGAAATAAAGATATTCCCGCACCCCAAGTCCCTGACATAGCATAAGTTAGGGGAACGAGGAACCGCTCTGTTCCTCCAACGCATCGGGACGGTACCAC